TGAAAGTAATGCGACAAAAGAAACACGTTGAATCAAGGCGTGTCCATTAATTAGCATCATAGGTATCGACAATCATGTAATCAGTCAGTGGGACCATATATGGTGTATACCACACTCTACATGGACCAGATGAAGAGAAGGAGACGGTTTGGAGATTAGAACTAAAATTATATAGCAGCATGTTTAAGCTAAAGTCTATCAGATCATCTCCAAGAAGTTCCTCTGACTTCAGCTGCACAGATTATTCCGACATTTAGGATCCATGGACTGTCGCCAACCTCGCTGGACGCGGCTGCAGGAGGAAAACTGATGGCGAATCTAAGACATGAGTTTTGGCCATTTATGCGAAATTTATGTTATTTGTCATTTCTATCAATTTAGTCATGGCTGCTCAGTGGAGCAGTGGGTAGCACTACTGCCTTGCAGCAAGAAGGTTCTGGGTTCGATTCTGCATGGAGTTTGCATGTTCTCCCTGAGCATGCATGGGTTCTCTCCAGGTACTCCGTCTCCCACAGTCCAAAAACATGGAGGATGATAAACTTCTCTTATCATCCTCCGCACTCTGCGTTGTGTCAAGATAAACTTGGCACCTCTTCCAGTTGTTCATCACTGTTCCAGTTGTTTTAAACTTCTTAAGGATTCCTCTGACTGTAGATAAAGGCAAGTTAAGGCGAGTGGCTATTTTCTTGTAACCATTGTCTGACTTATGAAGGTCGACACACATCTGCCTTACTTGAATTATGTCATCTCCTGTCTTTGCCATGCTGACTAATCGGTAAGAGAATTAGTCCTCTGTGTCACGTCATATTTATACCTCAGGGGAAACAGGGAGTCATGAATTTCTAATTAAAAGTTCCTAGATACACTGACCAACTTTAGCTACTACAAAAAAAATTTAAAGGAAATCAATTACATTTTTTAGCGGAATTGTTAGAGGTGCCAATAATTGTGGGATACGTGATTTTTTTAAATGTTTTTAATTTTCTAAATATGTGATTTTATTTTTAGCACCAAAGTAAAGTATTCAAATAAAAGGTTGGACTTGTTTGTTTAAAAGAAAAGGAGAATTTTTTTAAGTTCCCGACCACTTCTTAAACAGGGGTACCAATAATTGCGGAGGGCGCTGTTTCCCCCCCAGTTCAGCCAGGCCAACAATGACCCTTAACGACTGCCTTTTCAGAGGAATGGGCCAGAGATGGCAAAAGTACTCACTTTCCGTACTTGAGTAAAAGTACAGATACTTGTGTTAAAAATACTCTGGTAAAAGTGGAAGTACTGATTAAACTTCTTTACTCAAGTAAAAGTAACAAAGTACAGGCTTGTAAATTTACTTTATTTAAAGTATAAAAGTAAAAGTAGAAACCACTTTTTTCATGCCGTT